TCTCGGCTCACTGCAAGCTCCACCTCCCGGGTTCATGCCATTCTCCTGCCTCAGCCTCCAGAGTAGCTGGGACTACAGGTGCCTGCCACCACTCCCAGCTGATTTTTTTTTTTTTTTTTTGTACTTTTAGTAGAGACGGGTTTTCACGTGTTGGCCAGGATAGTCTTGATATCCTGACCTCGTGATCCGCCCACCTTGGCCTCCCAAAGTGCTGGGATTACAGGCGTGAGTCACTGCACCCGGCCCCCAAAAGGAAACTCTTAATTTGACCTCCTGCAAACTCCCAGCCTGATCCTCTTCTCATCACAGTTAATTACACCCATGGTCCCCTTTCTCTCAGGTCAAACTCCAGTCACCTGGGCAACATCCTTGGCTCATCCTTTTCCTCATGCCCCAGCCATTGTGTTACCCCAAGACCCTCAGATCTGTCCACTTTTCTCCATTGCCCTCCCACCCCCCTCTTTCTCCCTGATTACCACAGGGCCTTCCCTCTTGAACAGGGACAAGAACTCCCCAGTCTGACTCTTGTCCCTGTTCACTTTGGCTAGATTGAACTTTTAAAAACAGTTACCAGAGGTGGGGCGGGTGGATCACCTGAGGTCAGGAGTTCGAGACTAGCCTGACCAATATGTTGAAACCCTATCTCTCCTAAAAATACAAAAATTAACTGGGCATGGTGGCATGTGCCTGTAGTCCCAGCTACTCGGGAAGCTGAAGCAGGAGAATTGCTTGAAGCTGGGATGCGGAGGTTGCAGTGAGCCGAGATTGCCACTGCACTCCCACCTGGACGACGGAACAAGGCTCCATCTCAAAAACAAACAAACAAACAAAAAACCAAATATTATCAACACAAACACCACCATACCGACAATATTAGTACGGGTAAGGGGATGGTGGGAAAAGAGGAAGATATAGAAGTCCTCATATTTTGCTGCAGAGAGTCAATAGTAAGATTCAATATGTTGTTGAAAACGAGATGCAAACATGGGCGCTCAGAGAATGTTATGAGTTGGTGGGATGTCCACGCTGGATGGGGACTGGGGCAGCGCTGGTCAGAGCCTGGGCAGCAGACAGGACATGGGTCAGCCCAGAGAGGAATGGCAGAGCTCATGAAGGGTGAGGTTGGGGGTGGGGGAGTCTGGAAAATAACCGTGATTTCATCATTTTCTAGCCAAGTGATCCTTTATCTTTGAGCCTGTAGACTGCCTTCACGGCATTTACCCAGGTCTTTTTCTTTATTTCGGTGATACCCATACTTGAACAGTGCCTGGTACTTAGTGGATGTTTAATAAATGTTTTTGTTTATTTTTAATTTATTTTTATTTATTTATTTATTTATTTATTTAATTTTTATTTATTTATTTTTTTGAGATGGAGTCTGGCTCTGTCACCCAGGCTGGAGTGCAGTGGTGCAATCTCGACTCACTGCAACCTCCACCTCCCAGGCTCAAGAGATTCTCATGTCTCAGCCTCCCACGTAGCTGGGATTATAGGTGTGCACCACCATACCCAGCTAATTTTTGTACTTTTAGTAGAGATGGGGTTTCACCATGTTGGCCAGGTTGGTCTCGAACTCCTGGCCTCAAGTGATCCACCCACCTTGGCCTCCCAAAGTGCTGGATTACAGGAGTGAGCCACCATGCCTGGCCTTTTCGAATGAATGACGGTGGGGAGTGAATAAGAGTCTCACTTGGGTACAGAGATTGACCTGACAGAGGGCAGCTGGGTGATCCTGGTTCATGTTCCCAGAAGGGAATTTCTGTTACTTAACCTCTGTCCTAACCACCAGATGGTCCCTCTGGGCAGGGGGCTCAGTAATTAGAGTCCAAGATTGAGCACCACCCCGGGGACCCAGGCAGGTGGTACTGAAGACCCTGCCAACCCCAGCTCACAGTTCTAGCTCTGGCATCTAGTTTATGGATTATGTCACAGTCCCCAAAATGTATGGGTGATCTCCCCATATACCTCAAATTGAGAGTAGCAGCCAACTGCAATGCTCTTAAAAGAGGTAAGAAAACGTAACAGTCGACAAAAATAGAAAGTGTTACAGTGACGAAAGGAGGCTGTGATGTCCCAACATCTTCAGTCATGCTCGTCTAGGAAGCTCCCGACTTCCCTTCCCTACAAGTGGCAGGAGAGCAGCGGGCACGGCAGCCCAGAAACCTCTGCTCTCTTCTGTACTCGTCTTTCCTTAAGTTGGCCCATTACCAGAGTTTGGTTCCGTTTTTCTGTTTTCATGGGTTTAGGATTTTGAAACCCATTATTGACTGGAGCCTTGAACCCCACGGAATGCAAAGACAGGTCCGTTAACATTGCAGGTGGCTCACAGACTTGAGATCACGAACATCCACTGTGGCACAGGCGCCTCAGAAAACGCATTCTTCTTGTGTTTTCTTCTGTGTTGGAGGCCTCAGAAGGAAGAAGGGCTCTGTCGGGCCCTAGGGACTGTGCAGAGAAGGGAATAGCCCCAGGTGGCACGGCTGCAGGAGATAAGGGACTAGGGGGCTGTTCCCTGAAGCTGGGGCCAGCACTGCCTCTAGAACCAGTCACTTCTCCAAAGAAATGTTGTTTCTCTGCCAGGTGTGGTGGCTCACACCTGTAATCCCAGCACTTTGGGAGGCCAAAGCAGGCAGATCTCTTGAGGTCAGGAGTTCGAGACCAGGCTGGGCAACATGGTGGAAGCCTGTCTCTACAAAAATATTTTAAAATTAGCTGGGTGTGGCGGCATGTGCCTGTAACCCCAGCTACTCTGAAGGCTGAGGCAGGAGGATCGCTTGAGCCTGGAGGGGAAAGTTGCAGTAAACAGAGATCACACCATTGCACTAAAGCCTGGGTGACAGAGCAAGACCCTATCTCTAGAAAGAAAATAAAAAAAGAAAAGAAATTTTAAAACAAGAAATAAAAGAAAAGAAGAGAAAAGAGAAAAGAAAAGAAAAGGTTCTTCTGTGGGAGGGCCCTTCTCCCTGGACAGGATGTCAGTGGGCATCGGGATTCTCATCATCGGGCTGATTCTTCCTCCCTCAAGACCTTCTTTGTGGCCTGTTCACCCAGAGGACGGCCCCCAGCATGCCCAGGAGCAGAGGCAGCTCCAGGAAGAGCAGGAACAGGAAGTGGGTGCTGCTGAGCAGGGACCTGTGGGAACATGGTGACAGGAAATGAGCTGCGTCCTGGGTCAGAGGTCTCAGGTCTTCTCAACTCTATGCCCAGATCCTGGCTTCCAATGTCTATGTGAGGGCAAGCCTGGAACCCCAGCCAGGACAGCACCCTTGGCGGTGCACGGTCATGCTGCTCACCAGCGAGGCCTCCAGTCCTCCCTACACTCCCAGTCAACTCAGCCTGGCATTCAAGGTCCTGTCTGCCAACTCCCATCCGGCCTTTTTGGCTGGTCTCCCATAACTCCTCCTCACCTATCTTAAAGGGGTTTAGCATTCCCTGTCTCTTCTTACCTCGGCTTCTGCTGCATTCTGCACCCAGAGGGCCTCCCCACCCTCATCGCTACCTGTGCAAATGTTACCTACCTTTCAGGTGTCAGATCTGACGTCTTATCCTTGAAGGCCTTGGAGGATGACCTTGCTCTGACCCTCTGCCTGTGGACCAGCACCTGACCCTGGGGTTCCTTATGTTCCCTGTTACTTTCTATGGGTGTGTAAGGCCCGGAACCTTATTGACCATCAATTCCACCCCCTCACCATCCTCCACCCACTTCCCAGGGTCTTGACCTCCCAACTTGTTTCTTTCACCTCAGCGCAACTTGAGGCCACTCTCAGCTCACAGATACATTTTAAAAATCAGACCAGGAGTGGTGGCTTGCACTTGTAATCCCAGCACTTTGGGAGGCCAAAGCAGGCGGATTGCTTGAACCCAAGAGTTCAGGACCAGCCTGGGCAACCTAGTGAGGCCTCATCTCTGAAAAAAAAAAAGAAAGAAAGAAGAGAAGGAGGGAAAGAAGGAAGGAAGGAAGGAAGGAAGGAAGGAAGGAAGGAAGGAGAAAGAGGGAAGAAGGAAGAAAGAAGGAAGGAAGGGAAGGAAGGAAGGAAGGAAGGAAGGAAGGAGAAAGAAGGAAGGAAGGAAGGGAGGAGAAAGAAGGAAGAAGGAAGAAAGAAGGAAGGAAGGAAAGGAAGAAAGAAGGAAGGAAGGAAGGAAGGAAGGAAGAAAGAAAGAAAGAAAGAAAGAAAGAAAGAAAGAAAGAAAGAAAGAAAGAAAAAGAAAGAAAGAAAGAAAGAAAAATCAAAATTATATCCAACCCCAGAATGCTAGATGAGCCCTCAGATGGGACTGAGGGTATTTGGGGGAGATGGAGGAGGGACTATACAGCAGGCCACAGGTCCAAATGCCCCCAAAGGTCCTTCCCAGCTTCTTCACTCTTGGGGCTCTCCCACTACACCTCTGGAGTCCCTTGTCCTCTGTCCCCTGACAGCTAAAATCCCATCAGTTTGCACAAAAGCATGGAGGAGGAAAAAAACAAAAAAGAAACAGTCAAGGAGTCCTAAAGCCAGCTCCGCAGGTGGAGCTCTGCAGACACATTCACAGAACTCAAGATCGAGTGAATGAAAAAAAAAAAAAAAAAAAACAGAGTTGAACTGCAGAGGGAACTGGCAGGCCTTGAGTTCCAGGAGGACTGAGCCAGAGACACAGGCCTCTGTGCTGCGCTCTAGCAGGAGCAGGAGGGTCTGTGGTTTGGGCTTCCGCCTTGACCTGGGGTACTTGACCACAGCAGGCCGTGATGGAACCCAATAGCTAGCTCACAGGTGCCGACCTCTGGGGACTCCTCTGGACACCTCCAAGGTTGGTGAGCATCAGACTAATCCTCCAGACCCCTCTTCCAGCTTGGGAGGGCGAGAACACTGAACTTCCAGCTTCCCCCTTTCCCTCTAGCATTTTCCACTCCCCTACTCTGGTGCCTGGGGAGAGGGAGGCTGGAACAATATTTGTTCTTGGGCAGAAACTAGGAGCAGATGACAGAGGTGTCTCTCCTAACCCACTAGAGATCAAACCTCGATATGCCCTCTTGACCCCAGGAGGCAGGTAGGGCATGTTCAGGCCCCTCTCCTGCCACCCTTAGTCATGTGGTGGCTCATGCCTGTGTTGCAGAGTTTGCCTTCATGTTGCCAACGCTTACATGGGAAATCTTATTTTCCTCAAAGGTAAACTGAGGTTGGGGCAGCCCACCTGAGGTTTGCAGTGACTTTACTGATACAAAGATGCAACAGCGGGGGCCTATGGGGGTTTCAGCCTGAGTACCCCCAGAAGACAGGGTTATCAGAGTTAACAAATAAAAGCATAGAACGCTCAGTTAAATTTGAAGTTCAGATAAACAACATATACTTTTTTAGTATAAGTATAGCCCATGAAATAGTTGGGATATACTTATGCTAAAAATGTTTTGTTGTTTGTCTGAACTTGCAGTTTAACTGGGCATGCTGTTGCTGTATCTGGCAAACCGTGTTAGAGGAGAGGCCATGGGGCCAGACCTGTGGGAAAGTGGTGGGACCCGGCTCCACCTACCTGGTGAGGGGGCTGCTGGTCTGGGTGGCTGCAGGTGTGAAAGCCAGGCTTCCTGTTGCAGTTGTCCATTCCAGGACTGGAGTTTTTGTGTCTAAACATACAAAGCAGAACACGGTTCACCCCTTCCATGGATGGCCCAGCTCTGGCTGTGGCCCTAAGACTTCTCCACCTAGGAATTAAGGAGCCTCTGCCTTGGGGTCCAAGACTCTCTGGTCAGTATCCAAAATATTACATGAATTATTTTCTAAAGAGAAGTTACTGAAGTATTACCATGTGAGAAATTCTGAGGAGCAGACTAAGGAGGGAATTTGCAATCACCAGTTGCATGGCACAGCTTAGCACACTCGACAGCGTTCTGCTCTCCTAGGGCTAGGCTAGCTCTTTTCTGAGTCTCAGCCACAGCCGAGGTGAACTCCTTACGGCCTGTTCTGTAGTGATTTGGCCACTGGGCTTGTGGCCCCCTCGCTGAGCCACCTCTGGGGATCCCGGGATTCCTGGCTCTCTGCAGCCAGGCCCAGCGCCCTCCACCTCTGCTCTTCCCTCTCTGGCCCTTTCCTGTCTTCCAGCAACTTTGAGATCTCACCCTCCCTATCCCCGTTGAAGTCTGGCTGTATTAGATGCATCCCAGCCTCCGCTGTGTGCCAATTCCTGCTGCACCACACCCTTCTCACTCTGACGGTGTGTGGTGAGTTTTGATATTCAAAGTTTGCTTCTGGAGCAATCTAAAAATAAGAGATCATAGCATCATATTTGTCTTTTTTTAATATCATTTTCCTGTGATTAAATCAAGGTATAACTCACACATAATAAACTGTAAATATTTAAAGAGAACAATATGTTAAACTGATGTATGTGTATACCTGGTAACACCACCACCGTGGTCAGGACTGTGAGCATATTCATAATCCCCAAGACCGCCCTCCTCCTTACTCTGTCCCCAGGTGTTAGGGATTGAACTGTGGTCCCCTAAAAATTATATGTTGATACCCTAGTCTCCAGTACCTCAAAATGTGACTGTATTTGGAGCTAAAACCTTTCAAGAGGCAATTAAAATGAGTCTGTTAGGGTAAGTCCTAATGCCATCTGACTGGTGTCCTTCTCTGAAGAGGAGATGAGGACACGTGGGGAGACACCAGGGCGTGCGAGCACAGAGGGGCAACCTCAGGAAGGGGTAGCAAGAAGGCAGCCACCTGCAAGCCAGGGAGGGAGGCTTCAGGCTCAACTGAACCTGCCAACATCTTGCTCTTGGACTTCCAGCCTCCAGAACTATGAGAAATATATTTATGTTGTTTATGCCACTCAGTCTGTGGTATTTTGTTGTGACAGCCTTAGCTAAGGGATGATAGCACTGATCCATTTTCTCTTACTATCAATGAGTTTGCATTTTGCAGAATCTAAGATAAATGGAATCCTACAGTGTAAATCAAGTTTTTGAGCTGGTTTCCTTCATTCAGCATAACTATGTTATCATTGGTATATCAGTAGAATGTTCCCTTTTATCGCAAGTTGTATTCTATTGTATGGGTAGTTCACTTTTTTTGTTGTTGTTTGTTTTGTTGTTGTTTTGTTTTGAGACAGAGTCTCTCTCTGTCGCTCAGGCTGCAGTGCAATGGCATGACCTTGGCTCACTGCAACCTCCGCCTCCCAGGTGCAAGCAATTCTCTGCCTCAGCCTCCCATGTAGCTGGGACTACAGGTGAGTGCCATCACAGCCAGCTAGTTTTTTTTTTAATTTTTAGTAGAGACAGGATTTTGTCATGTTGTCCAGGCTGGTCTCAAACTCCTGGCCTCAAGCGATCCACCTGCCTCAGCCTCCCAAAGTGCTGGGATTACAGGTGTGAGCCACCACGCCCAGCCTGTATTTCACATTTTTTAAAAAAATTCCAGTCACTTGAATTGTTTCCAGTTTTTTGCTATTACAAATAAAGCTACTATGAATGTTCACATACAAGTCTCTGTGTGAACATAAAACTTTATGTCATTTTGACTAAATATGGAAGAGCTGAGGGGCTGGATCATCTCTGGCAGGCATACGTTCCATGTCTGAAGAAACTGCAAACTCTTTTCCCAGGTGGTTGTATCATGTGCATTCCCACCTGCAGGGTGCGAGGCTCCAGGTGCTCCAGAGTGTCTCCAACACTTGGTGTCAAGGTCACTAATGTTAACTTTTGTTACAGGCTGAAAGAATAAGAGTCATGACCAACTCAGTATATCACTGGAGGCTATGTGAGCGAACAGAAAACTGTTCTTTTGAAAGCAGGATGTTGGAAAACTAGCAACTGCATCTGCTGCCAGAAGGGGCGCTGAGGGCAGTCACACCCAAAGTGCAGTGTTCCTTGTGATTATCTATACGAACACCTGAAAACTGTTGTACAAAGAAAGCAATTATGTGAACCTGTGATAAATCAAGCAGCTGACAAACCGTTACCTCTCCCTCCCTGCTCTTTCTACCTAATAAATACGAAGGGCTGTAGAAGCTCAGGGCCCTCGTTCACTAGAAGCAAGGAGCTCCCTGACCCCTTCTTCAAAACAGATCTCTTTGTCTTTGTCTTCATTTCTGCGTTCGTCCCCCTTTGTTCAATCCTGTAGCAACCAACAGCGACAAGTGGTGGCCGGGACAGGAACGTGAGCAAAGAAGTTCTGCTGGAGCAGAGAAAGAGAAACTGACAAGACGAATGAGAAACCCCGGCACAAGTCAGCCAGCAGCCAATATAAGGTCAGTGGCCTAGAGAGGTACTGGGAATGGGAAGTTTTCTGAATCAGGGTAACATGGGGCAGAATTTGTCTATTGAGGTGCAACATTATGTGCATTTGCTTAAAGTTTTACTTAAATAATCTGGTGCTCAGGTTAGTTCTCAAACATTAACTAAGATGCTGAAGAAGGTCACTACACATAACCCATGGTTTCCACAGACAGGCAGTCTTGATGTAGAAATCTGGGACAGAGTAGGAGAAGGATTAAAACGGGCTCACCAAAAAGGTCTTAAAGTTGATCTTTCTGTTTTTTCTGCTTGGAGTTTTATCCATACAGTCCTCCTGCCATTATCTCCTTCTTATTCTGCTAGACAGCAGAAGTCATATTCTGAGTCTAAAAATCTGAAAGAATCTTTTGTCTCACCCACAGTACCAATTAAAAATAATAAACAGCAGGAGGATGAAAATTGGCCTGTGTCGCCCCCTCCAGTAGCAGAAACATCTGTACCACCTCCTTCAGTAGCAGAAATAGAGACCCCAGTACAAAGAATTTTACGCTCTGCTGCTATAGCTGGAGAGCCCTTAGGACCCTGTGCTTTTCCTATTTCCATAAGGCCCAATCCAAATAATCCACAGCAGTTTATTCATGAACACACCCCACTACAGTTTAAGTTGCTGAAGGAATTGAAAGCTAGTGTAGTTAATAATGGATTTATTACTTTTACTTTAGGATTTACTTTAGGATTGCTAGAATCTATATTTGACACTATGCGCCTTCCACATCAAATGCTTGATGTAAAGCATTTGGCTCGCACTTGTTTGTCTGCTAGTGCATACCTGACATGGAATTTAAATTGGCAAGAACCGTGTGCAGACCAGGCTAGACAGAATCGTGCTGCTGGACACAGAGACATTACAGAGGATATGCTGTTAGATAATGGTCCTTATTCAGATCTGGAACATCAAATGGCACTCGCAGACGCTGCTTACAAGCGGTGTGCCTTGGCTGCTAAACGTGCCTGGGCCACAGTTCCTGAGGAAGGGGTCCCACCCAGTACAATCTTTTTTACATATCATGCAAGGGTGGCTTATGCATATTTTCTTGCAAGATTACGAGAGGCAGTGAAGCATCAGATTCCTCATACTGTGGCTGCAGAAATGCTAACCGTAACTCTAGCTTTTGAGAATGCAAATACAGATTGTAAATGTGCACTGGCACCTGTGAGATGTATAAAAAACTTGGGAAATTTTCTCAAAGCTTGTCGAGATGTGGGAACGAGCTTTATGGCTCTACAATGTTGGCTCCAGCAACGGCTAATTTAGTAGTGGACAAATCTAAAAAGGGCCAAGGGGCGAATCCTAAAATGGAAAAATGTTATAATTGTGGAAAAATCGGACACTTCAAAAAAGAACACCGTCAGACCTCTGGGCAGAAGGGATCTTTTTTTTTTTTTTTTTT